GAAAAGTAACAAAGTAATCCACTACTGTAAAGCAAAATTGTAAAAACAAATCGTAGCATCCAGTCAAAGTTACTCTGGTAAGCAGCACATTTAACCGAAAGGTCACGGAGAAACAGAAAATCTTTTTACTCTCAAGTTCTTAATGTCGTCGTGCACTGTAACTTACTCTGAAAGAGTAAGAAAATCCTGTAGTTTACCTAAAGAAGAGTTATTTTCCTTTAAATTCAATTTCTGTTTTAACCTAAATAACATTTTTAAGACGACTGGAACACTAGGAGCCCCAGGTTCCAGCCATGCATTATCTCCACTAAGCTATTATTTTCCATACGAAAAATATGGTAGAGATGCTCTTAGTTGGGATGTCCAGAGAGAAACAAAATCTATCACTCAAAAGATCAAAATCAGGACTTTTAATCGGCAACTCAAAACTGGTCCTTAAAGTCCTGGTGAGTGAACTACCAACAGCTTTACAGAACTTCCCTTTGCATCGGGCCACGAAGCGAGGGAGTCAGTACGTTGTCTTGGAGGCACCAGCTGGGTTGACAGTTTCCATTTTCCCGGCCGAATGACTAGGTCTGAGATTCCTGCATACTGCGAGCAAAAACTTGCAACACGCCTGCCAGTGCTGGAGCTTCAAAGGGGCCTGTCTGATTTTATTGAGCCCTCTTAAAAAAGGAAAAAAATCCAGAACAAAGTCAAGTTCTACCAAATCCTGTGAAACAATCACTCTATTCAAAACAAAGAAGAAACAGACTGACAAACCATAACAATATAAAGAACTTTTATTTTATTTTTTTCCCACCTCTTTTTTTACTGTGTAAAGTTTTGTTATTACGCTCACAGCTTCGTACCAAAGTGAGAGAAGGAAACCATGGTCAATCTGTGCACATGTTCTACACAGCTTATTCAACCATGTTGTTTTATTCCACTTCCATTCTTCAAAAACACTTTTAACACTTACAGCAAAATGAAATTTGAGAAGCTGGCAGGCGCATATAACAGAATATATACCTACACAGTTTGCTCTTTCACAATTAAATATTTTACAAACAGTAGTTGAAAACGTTTCCTTATCCTTCCTCACATATTCTACAACTCTGGACAACTTAGACTGTTTGAATGATAGTACCATACAAGCCTGAAAATCAAGATTCATCTGTACCTGTGGTTTTAATTCAAAAGAAGGGAAAAATATTTTCTCAACACTACATTTTTGTTTCTGGGAACCTGCAGTTTTTTATGAGTTTTCAGTTATCATTTACCTTGATCCGGCATTATTGTACAGTTTGAAAACGTGCATTAAGTGCACTGCTTCAAACACACTGCACAGCCAAACTCCTGCTACTTTGCAGAAGTCAGCTCATGCGCTGATAACATGTTTAAAGTCTGCAGTCCACATCTAAGTGCCACAAGGCAAGCAGAAGCTGGGATATTTAATGCATCTTCATACCAACGGACACAGCAGTTTTCCCTCCAGCCCCTTCCACATACAGAAGCAGCAGCATTAGGCCACAGAGTATTTTTTGCACTGCCAGTTATCTGTTATTTTTCCCTGTGATTTGAAGGAGAAAGGAGCAACGAATACAGACCAATCCTAGCATTGTCTTATCATTCAATACATGTGAGGTTATTGGGGATGGGGAAAGTTAAGCCTTGCAGCACACGTGAACTTTTAAGTGATCATTTTATGCTACTCGCGCCCTCCTTTTGGAGCTCAGGCAGGGCTTGGTATGCCTATGGCACAACAAGTTCTTATGCTTTTGAAGAGAATGATATAACCGGTTTCAGTAGTGCCTGGCCCATTCTTTGTATCATAAAAGCGTATGATGCCTCTACGCACTCTCCGTCCACTGAAGAGGCTCATAGCTTACTAGGCGCAATGTCAGTCCTGCTAAGAGGAAAATGGTGGCTTGCCCCCAAAAGGGCCTGCCATGTGTCAGCCACATAGCAAGTGCAGAGCTCATTATTTAACATCTAACTAATAAAATAAACACAGTCAGCCACAAAATAAACCCTTACTCTACTCATTCTTCACCCACAACTTTTTACTTGCATAAAAACCAAACTGAAAACAAAAATAGTACTGAAACAGGCTTCAGATGTGCAGTGCTGCTTTTCACGCAAATATTACTCCATTAAATTTCACAAATAGTCCGTCTTCCCAGTGTTATTACACTCTTTGACCAGAGGCACATCAGGAGTCAAAACCCGAAGTTGCAAGACCGGAGAGAATCTCATCAATGGCTACCAAGCCAACACATTGGTTTGGCATCTCTCTTCCGGAGGCAACTGTGGAAGAAGTGAATAGCCAATGGCAAAAGCTGCAACGAATTCCAGCTGAACAATTAGGAAACTTCAGAGAACTGAAAGAGAATCCCCCAGAGAAGCCTGGGGATTTCCACAGCTGCACAACAACTTCATAGCAAATCCTTTTAAGACATCCTCAGGACAAAGCAGCACAGCATTTTCCTCTGAACCCCTGAGCAATTTTAAAAATTGTTTTTAATTTATGAAGCAAAATTTTACAAACACTCATGCAGCTCTGCTATTTTCCTGCCTCTTACCCGTTTTAAGATTCTTACAATATATCTGAAACGACCTACAAAGTAGCAAAAGACACCACTGCTAAAGCTAAAGCTGGATTTCAGAAGTCCAGACTTTTCAGGAGGCCTGTTTTCAAGGACAGATAAGGAAATATCATGGACTGCAAGAAAAGGAAGTCTGCTTCCACCAGCTAGAAAACATATCCCAACAAACAATCAGGAATGAAAATTAGTGTAATAACTCTGTTGGAACACCTAGTGAGAAAGATCTTTACACATTCCTGAAAACAGCTGAAAGAATGTGAAGAATCACAAAGAAGAAGTAACAACATCTACTCTCACACACCATTTTTCAAAATGCTACTATTGCTTTGCCACATGCTTGTCCTCAGGACACACACCTCCACACCTTCACTTCAAGCACAGTCCATGAAGGACAGCTTGAGACGTTCACATTGTTTATGCCACACTTTTACATGCTCCCTCACTGTGGTTCAAAAAAAACCCAGAACAACTCTTAAATATCAATAATTTTGGAAACGGTTTAAGTATTAAACAGTCTTCTACTTTTAGGTCATAAAAAAACCCAAATACTCTTGGAGACATCAGAGCAATACAGCCTGCATCAGAAAACATTTACACTGCTCAGAGATTTCCCTGAACTTGGTTCTCTCTTGAATTGCTTCATCCACAGGCCACACAAAGAAAGCAAAAAACAAAACAAAACAAAAAAATCCAAACCCACAAACACACCCCCCAAAACCCAGAACAAAACCCCCCTCAAAACAGCCTGGGCTCTGAGCCACATACTGGGGTTTTTTCCTGTCCACAAACAGCTTAATAAAAAAACCCCAAACAAATCGCCACAAAAGCACTGGAACCCAGAGATTCCCATGTCTTTGAAGTAGGATGCTACAGCATCTCATTCCTATTTTACTCCTGTCTCTCACAAAAAAAATCATCAATGTCAAGCAACTACAGAGAAATCATGTTTGTCCACTAAGACAATACAAAAATAGCGTGCTTCAGAGAAGGGCCTGAAGTTCCTTGATTTGATGGCAGTAGAACATCCATGGGTTTTCCTCAATCACTTTCTAAAAAAGGCTTCTTTATAGTCAAAGAATGAGGCTATAAAACTTTTTTGGTCTGTGGTTGGCATATCAAGCCTCAAAGTAGTGGTGAAAGAGATGCCCAGTAAAAATAGTACATCCAATTTGTTTGAAAAACACTGGATTCATTTATAAGCAGCTCAGTTTCAACACTGGGCTGTCGTGACCCTCTGTTACAGTTTAAGGAAACCTCTGCTTTTTTTATCCCGAGCAGCAAGTTAGGCAAAAGTGAACATAAAGCTCCTTGCCAGATTAGTCTCATTGTTTAAGAGAGCTCTTTGCTATATTAGTGTCATTATGGGAGAGGATTGCAAAGGCAAGAAGTACATATCACTGAATTTAATGGGTAAAGTTTTCCACCCCAAGGGACACTTGCAGAGGAATCCTGACAAGTGGAAACAGTCTTCCTCTCTGCACTGGCTTCTCTGTGGTACCTTCTGTGCATTAGTAGCAGCAGTGCATTCTACACGTGATATGCATTTTTTTATCCTCAGCTTCTGCTTGAGAACTTTAGACGTTAAAATCCTTTAAAATCCTGCTCCATTCTTTCCAGTTGAGCTTTTGTGAATTTGGCATAGCCCAAGACAATTAAGCCAGTTCACAAGAGAAACAAAACACTACCTAAGGGGGTGCACTTCAGACAGGCAGTGGCTTTGCGTTTCTCTTAGTTTGCTATGCCATGAAGATAGGGGACTGCAAAGCTCAGTCACTAAGATTCCAAATAAAATCAAGAATCCAACTATGGTGTTGTGTCAAGATTGCAGTGGTTATGCTGGTATTTAACTAAAACAAAAGCCGACATCACTTACTACTTTCCTGTACATAAGGGCCTATATTTAAAAAGACTAAGATTGCAAAGCACATGAGTGGAGCCACTGTTCTGGTTGTTTTGCTGCTACTGGCATACCTCTTAAGAAATAACTGCTTTCCTCCAAATAAACAAAATACCTCAGGAGGTACAGTATTTAGGGCAGTCTGTCACTGTATATATTCTGCCAGTTATAGCAATTTTTACACAAGGAATAAAAAATAAGTTACAATTAACATAAAAAAAATTTAATTTATTCCAGTTCTCCATAAAATACCTGTTCTTTTTATGAAGTCAGTCAAAATGTACACTGGATATTCAGGTTACACTGTAAGAATTTGTGATATTCTGATTTGCAGAATTTTATTAAAATCATCTAAAAAAACTGGATACAACATAATAACAGACAGGTCTTCGACACTTAACAGGCTTCAAGCTGAGTTTGCAAACACCAGCACCTATTGTAATCTCAGTTCTCAACACTCCTCTGGACTTCGCAAAGACTCTCAGACTATGCTTCTTAAAAAAAACCCAATCAGAAAAAACAAACAACAAAAAACCAAGGCAGACAAGAAGAGGGAATATTCTTATCTGTCAATGAATTAAAAACTTGCAAGAATCTTCCATTTGGGCCAAGTCTTAATTGACCAGCCTTATTGCTACAGAGTGCAACACCACCTGCAGTCTCTGTAGCAAGGCATTTCAGCCCCGCTCCATTTTGCATTCCAAGTGGGAAAAGAAAGAGGAAAGACTGGAGTAAGAAACTGATGTTATTTGGAATAATTCTGACATATAAAATTACTTCCCAATGTGGGAGGTGAAGAGCTTCATGAGTCAATCCTGCTGTCATCCACAGCATGTCTTTCAATGTGTCCTACAGCATCCTAGGAAAGAAGCAGAGAAGTCAGTTAAAAATAATAATATCACCAAAAACCCCACAAAAAACTACAAAAAACTTTGCAGAAGATTCTTGAAGCCTCAGTGAAAGTGACATTCTAGATAATATACATTTTTTTGGCTTAAAGCTTCTAAAAAAAATTAAAACAAAAAAACCCCCAAAACAAAAAAAAACCCCCGAAATACAAACAAAAAAGCTCAAATGCCAAGCTATTAATCACATATATAAAGTATCTCCCATACCACATCATTCAAGGCAAATAAAAACCAGCTTCCTTTCTGACTAGAACGTATCAAATAAACACATCATACCCAAAGCCAATGCTTAAAGAGAAATGAAGGATTCTAATTCTGTTTCTTAGTTCTCAAAGAAACCTCCTTCCATTGTGTATTTTGAAAAGCATTCAACATGAAGGTAGTTTATATTGCCAAGAAGTAAAATGTGGATTTTTATCAACCAGTCTATAGGTAACAACCCTCCTTCCACTCACCCCCCCAACCCTTTCCATATCACTTAATCCAACTCTTACGCCTTCTTCATTTTCTTCCCATCTGTGCTAACATTCACTCAGAAATTTATGCACTACTTATTTAAAGATTGTTAGCAAAACTAATCCCATGTGAAAGATAAACAGCATCAGCATCCACAATAATGAAGGGGGGTAGTGATGAATAAAAATTAAAAGGATAAAGACCTGTTTCAAGACTGATGTTTGTTCATCTTAAAAATAAATTTTTCCTACAAAACCTTAATAACATCTTGCATATAGTTCTCAGAATTTCTTCTAATATTACATGGAAATGGTAAAATTCTTGAAATATTTTAGGACCAAACTGTTTTAAATTGACCATATCTCAAGTTATCATACTTAGCTGCACTCTTCACCTGTCACAGGTTGAATTGAACCCTATTAGCCTTGTATGACTGTAACTGTATGCAGTTAAGCCTGTCAAGACTAGAAGAATTTAACCTTTTTAAGAGAAATAGGATCTAGTCCCACAACTGTGGTGATATAAAGTAGTTTGTACTATCAAATACAACCATGTTAGTTCAACCACATACCTGCTTGGAACCTTTCCTGGAAGTAAAGAAAGCATCACAGTTTTTCCAACGACATTTTAGGGTCTGAAAATTTGGGTTGGTGTGGTCAGTTAGCAAGTGTTGTTTCAGATGGTCCACAACTCCAAAGATCAGTGAACATCCATGCCACTGGTAGAAAAAAACATGCCAGAAAAAGCCAGGGAAAAAGAATTTTAGCTAATGCTTTTCTTCTTGCAACTTCACAATATTCTACCAAGACTGTTCACACACATGCCACCTCCTGTAACTTTTTAATCGTCTTACGCCATTTCCATTCTCAGTGGTCTCTATTCCTTTAACTACAGCTTTAGACAGATTTCTCCTGCCTCTAGCCAAGAGCAAGAATGGCAGCATGAAGAGACAAACTATGCCTTTACAAGATTTAAGTTTACCTGAGACAGAGTCACTGGGAATTTAAATAAACTTATTTAGCAGAGTAAATCAGCTTTTCTATGTCACTCAGCTGAAGTTTTTGGTTTTAAACAGTTACATGCCACTATCTAAAAATTGCCAGAAAGAAAAATAATCTAAGATGCTACTATCAACTTGCCCCAAAGCATACACATAGACTAAAGATCATGAAAAATGCAACTACTGATATATACGTACACTTAAAATGCACATACACATTTTTAAAATGTTATTGAATTATAACAAATTAACGGTCAAGCTATCCACGACTGAGTAGTGTAAAAACTGTAACAAAGGGAGGTTAAAAATATTTCGCTCATTACCCAGCAACGATAATTCTGCAGTAGATTAAGTCTCACAGCTCTGACACTGCCATCATAGCATCCAGTGTAGATCTGTAAAAGAAACACTCATGGATAAGCAAGCTGGGAATAACAGAAAAAAATAAATGAAGGCAAATTTTGAAGGAGGTTTCAGCATAGAACAGGTGAAAAGCAATAAAATATCAACATGCATGGCTTCTAAATCTAAAAAATAGGTCTAACCTAATTCTTTTAAGACTTGCATTCATAGTTTACAAAAACCTACTAATGAATAAGAAATGTTTCCATAACTTCTATTTTTGATAATGTCGTGTGTGTAAAAGTTCAGAAAACTTTAAAATATAATGTTATTATCCACTGAAGTGAAAAAAATTTTAGGTGTAAACGTCAAGTTGAATGTATTTCCAGGACTTAACCAGTTATATGTATATCAAAAAGAGACGGAGAGGAAGAGTGAGGAAGAACATCAGAATTTCAGAAAGAGAAGACTGATGCAGATCCTGAAAAGGCAGGCAAAATGACATCTTAAAAAACCACTTCTGTTAGACAAATGCTCCACACAAAATTGTCCTTTTGGAAAGAAAAGGATGTCAGCTGCTCGTAATCCCATAAAGAACATTCATCGTTAAAAAAAGTCCTCACATAATACAGAAAACTCTGCAAGCTGAAGATTTCATTTGCTCTTTTTGTTCAAGACTTCTTGTCTCTTGAAGATTCATCACTAGCATATAACAGCCAATCTGCTGTAAGAGACTACACTTTACTACTAAGACTACTACAGAAAATCATAATCTTTCACTCTCACTAAGCTTCTCATCTGAACACTTCTTTGATTGAAAATGCCCAGAACAGACCACTGCTGGGGGACAGTTCAAGCCTCAGACTGTGAGCACAAAGCCTGAGTGCACTTAGCTCTCCATCTCACTCACATGAGAAGTGAAGCTTGGGCAGTATGTATTCTAATTAGTAGGAGATCAGTTCTGTTCAGCTTGATTCTTCTGTTATTACAGATCATCACTATACTTCTTATTTCACAATCTGAAAGAATGTTTGCAAACGAATTCCTACACAAAAGCAAGTAAGTCCTTTTAATAACTTAAGCAAGTTATTTATCCAAAAGTGCTTCTGAACCTTATCTTGCAGGGCAGACGTATGAAGAAATCTGTGCACCTAAATCAATTGTTTAGGTTCTATCAAAGGTTACTAGAGGTTTGACTGTGGGTGAAGTTTTTCTCTAGCATCTGTGTGACTCTCTTGAGTAAAAGTCAAACTGGATTAATGCTTGAAAAGAGGAAATATTTTACTGTTTCTCGACTCTTCATTGCAATCATCACTGTAAACGGAACTATTGTTTTAAGACTACAATAAGCTAGAAGGTAATTTTCCCCCAGACAATAACACTACATAAATACAAAGCTGTTACAGCAATTTGACTTTTTGGCTGACATTTCTAAGCTTTTCTTAGTCAGACAGCGGGTTGATTTCATTATCTGAAAAAATTAAACTGTCTTCTATATGCCTGTGGAAATTACAATCTTCTCTTTGAGAGCAGTGACAAGAAGAAAGTTACCATGCTCTTATGGATGGTCATACACATGATCATATCCGTGTGGCCTCCATAGACTTGCAAGCGGTCATGTGACTTGAAAGAAACAGACACAGACATTTAATAGCATGACAGTTAATACCCATTCTTCACAGACGTGTGAATGACAATGCTTCCTAAAGCAGTTTCCTGGGTAGCAACTAAACACTGGTAGATTCCAAACTTCATAGCCACCATGAAAGCTCACTTTTGCTTACATTACTTCTGTGACTCTTTGTCTGCTGAAAGACCATGGACAAAACTTAACATTTCCCCACTTTTCTTAGCTGTCATTGTCTTAGAACAACACAGATTCTAAAAAAACGGTTTAGGCTATATTCTTTAAAACCCATATATTTTGGCTGGTGAGACAACTATATGTTCTGTGTGACAGGAATGAGAGGGATGGGCCAGAGACCAGTAAGCACGAAGATGACTTCTATTTGACTTCAAAATAATTAACATATATTAGGTTAATGTCATTAGTAGCTATCTTCCTACCTGTAGTTCATAAACACGAACAAATTTATCTAGACATGCTGTCACCATCACTTTCCCAAGAATATTCACAACTGTTACTGCATGGTTATGGCCTTTATAGATCCGTACCAGCTCTCCAGTCTGCATCAAGAAAAAGCAAAGGCAAACAGGTGTTTGGTTTTGGTTTTGTTTTGTGGTTTGTTTTTTTTTTTTTGGGGGGGGGGTGTTGGTGGTGTGTGTGTGTTTTTTTTAAAAAAAACAAAACAATAAAACAGTTTTACTTAACCTAGATAGGGTAGCTAGCTTCAATGCTTGCTACTGAAAAAATGGAAACACCCTTTTATTAGACTTCCGTTTTCTGTGAAGGCACTTCTAGATTATGATCAAATACTACTTATCCTTTTCTTTGCCCATGTTAACACAGAGTCATTCCAGTACAATAGAAATGCATGCCACTATGAAGTGTGTACTTCTCTTTCCATCATTAGTTACGTGTTCCCACTATCCTGCAACTAGTACTGTGCTATTAGTACTAGCAGCATTCATGTAGCCACAAGGATCAGTGAGCAAATTTGGCTAAATACACAGAAATATACATTCTTTTGGGTCAACTAAAATTTACCTCCAATAAGTTTCTTAATCTAACTTATTGCATAGCTACATGAACGCTTCTGCTAGCACAGGGGAAACATGGTATAAAAGAGGAAGAGAGTGGCAGACTAGAGACAAAGCATTCATGACAGTACAACAGCTCTTGAACCAGCTAGTTTGGAATACTGTGTTTCTCAAGTTTATCCCGTATTTAAGAAACTCTTCCCCCACCAGAATATTTCACATGGCTTTGCTCTGAACCCTTTCCACATTATCAGCACATTTGTAGTAATATTTGCAAAAGCAAGATCCCCAGATAAAAAGGTGTTGCCTATCATATTACAAGCATGTTTACGTATCCTCTGCACGCCTCCTTAGATAGCTATAGTGCATAGCTAAATTAAAAAAATAATATGACTTCCTTTTCTAGAAGCACTTTTCCCCACCAGTCTGTCAAAAATTCTGGAAATACTGACTTTATAGCACAGGAATTCACTGCCTTAATAGCAGAAGTCACTCCAACTTTATATATGAGACTTACATGAATGTTGTGGGCATGGACAGACTGGTCACTGGAGCCACTGAATACCAGATCATTCACAACCTTCCCAAAAAAAAAAGTTTTATTTTTGTAACAGATACGGAAACGGGCAAGCAAAATGTTAAGATGCTGTTCGGTTTATTTCCTAAATTTGACAGTCTTAAAATCAACAGAGAGTGTGGGAAAAAAGCATGCATTGAGTTCTTTACAAAAGAGCTAGACAATGTACTATGCTGTCCTAATGATGACTTCTGACACTTCGCATTTGACATTAGAAGCTGTTAACTTGCAGCCCATCAGGCTAACTCATCCTACCTATGGACTATTCTCAGGGACAGCTCAGCAGTAGATCAGAGACCAAGCAAACTGACTGCAGAATGCTGCTCTGCACATGCACAGTAAAGCCCAGTGTTTCCTGGAAATACTGCATGTGCTGTGTACTTATATTCTGGTCACATAAGAAAGACGATGCTCCTGACAAGTACTAATCTAGAAAGGAAGCTTAATAGATCCATCCTGGATCAAGAACGAACCACATTATGCTGCTATGCAAGCAGGACTAGGATAGCCCACAGGGCAAAAAAGGCTCTGCCACGGCCCCATAATATCTAAAGTGACAAATACCACTTATGGAAGTCATCTCCTTTCTCTTACATGATAGTGGTCACAGCAAAGCAGTCAGACAAGCGTATGTTCCAGCTTGTAATCTCAGGAGCCAGAAACCTGTAAGTGTGTGTTACTGATTCTTCTATTAAAAAAGAATACTACTTCTCTAGAGTTACATTTTTTTCCAGTTTCCTCTGAGGTTTGTACTATCAGGATATGTGAAAACTAGCTTCATCTTTGCATTGGCAAACTCACATTTCAAGATTCCTTGAATCTTCTAACAACGTGAAATAAACATGCTTCCTACATACACACCCCCAACAGTTTGCTGGGAACGTGAAATATGGCAGAGAATTTTCTTACCAAATTACTTAGGTTTTATCATTTAAAATAGAGAAATCCTCTATTTCCTACCATAATCTGCTCACTATACAATGAGGAAGAAAAAGAAAAAACACACCATTTTAAGCATTCTATGTCAAAAATATATTTTCAGAGACACTTGCCTTCATGCAGAGTATAGTCTTGCTGTGACCTTCCAGGGTTCTGAGCAGCAGTCCATTCCGCGCATCTCGCACGCTGATGGTGCAGTCGTAGGAACCCACTACCAACAACTTCCGTGCTCCTTCCTGAGCTGTGGCTAGACAGCTCACTGCTCTAGGGCCATGGCATTCAAAGGTATCAATCTGCTTGTTGTTCTGAGGTGGGACAAAAAAAATGTATTGAAGAACTAAAACTTTGTTATGACACTGACTCGACCACTGAGTCCTTTTTGTGTTGTACCTGTTACGTCTGATTTCAGTTTACTAACACGCTATTTCAGCAGTGGTAAGAGCTGCATCTTCCAAATCAAGGAAACAACTCCTTATGTTAGGCTTTGATTTTCTGTCTCCTAAAAAAATATTTCATTATTTAGCAAAGCTCCAGTAAATCCTCCTTCCGAGTTACAATAACTAGAGGAAATAGTGTTATGAGAAAAATGCAAACTAGGATAAATTTGTAAGGATACATTTGAGAAATTAGTGTAGGATCCATGAAGAGAATAATCAGGAAAATAATTTTATTTAAAAAAATATTTTTATTCACTTTTAAGTATCATGGAGATTGCAGATTAAGCCTCTTTGCCAGAAAATCACGTTAATGAGTCTCTCTTCCATAACTGCAAATGGAGCAGGCAAAACCAGCAACACATTAAAGTCTCCCACACTACTTTGATGGGCAAGAAAGGAGGACTCGCAAATAATCAACTGCGTCACAAAACTCTCATGATATACAACTGGCAGGCCAGGTGGAACTTTAAGGAAAAATGTGACAACAATACAGCAATTAAGAGAAAGGTAACCGGAGGGAAGGGGAAATGGGACAGCTTCACACACTGACAAAAATAAAGGACCAAAAGGGGCCAACAGTGACCATTTATACCAAAATACTTACACTTACTACTCAAGAGAAAGAATGGAAAGAAACACAAAGTGGAGAGAAACGGCATCACAACAGGCTTTTAGGTGCCAATATTTAAACAAACTAACCTTTATGCTGAAAGTAACCACGCTGCCATTTGCAAGGCCTGCATAAAGGATCCGCCATCTACTGTGTAAACAGAGCACTCGATCTTCCAATTTAAACTGTTCCATACACTCTTTGGTCTGGCAATAGAAAGAAGTATTTAAAGCTTCTCATTAACTGAAAACAATTCAGGGAAAAAAGCCTGAAGTGAATGATGATTTTCACCTACAAGCTGTGCTTTTTGAACCAACAGAGGTGGAGAAAAACATCTGAAAGTTTGGTGTCACATCGCAGTTTGATCTTGGTTTTAATCAGCGCACTTCCATCTTTGAGACTTGAGGTATGAAGTGGGGCTCATGTCCAGCTCATATGGGTTTAAGAGGCTTTTAAAATTTGTATTTGCGAAAAAACACTCGCGTAAGAATGCATTACATGTTAATCAACACAGAATTTGAGTACCTTGATATTGTAACAGTTGATAGTGTGGTCGCTTGAGCCAGTATAGAGTGCAGCATTCTTCCCGTTTGTCTGAGTGACCAGGAGGCAGTTCACTTTTGAAGTATGTCCTTCAAAGATGGCCACACACTTCCTGCTCTAAAAGGGAAAGCATAGGGTCTGTCAACATAAAGGCCAATAACGCTTCTCAGGATCTGTGCCTGACAGAGTAGGGTAGGACAGCCAACAAAAGCAGGACACACGCAGCAATCTATCTCCCCTTACCCCTCTCTCATAGGGAGGGGAGAGGTTTAAAGAAAAGAATAACATAAAAAACTAGGCGCTTGAAAAAGCAGCTGCTTCCTTAACTACACATTAAGGCTTTACAAAAACAGGAGTGCAACCTTGTGACTACAATTAATGTAACACCATTCCCACAACTTTACTTACAACCAGATTGTAGGCGCACACAGTTTTGTCAGCTGAGCAGGTATACAACAAATTCCCAAAAATCTGAATAGCATTCACTGCAGCCAGGTGTCCCTCAAAGTTTCCCTCTGTAGGTTCTTCATCCTCACCTGGCTCCGAAGACACTTCTGCAGGACAGACACACACTTTCTTTCATTATGGGAACATACTCAAGCAAGCATGCTACTCTTGTTTGTATTACCAAACAGCAGAACTATTTTGTGGGCTCAGCACCTTAAAGTCAGATTTCATTGTGGGTCCCAGCTGGAGCCTGTAAGTGGCAGAAGGCAATATAAAATGCCAGAAAGGCCTTTATATGATGTTAAGTCCAGAAAGATCTTTACAATAGCAAAAGGATTGTATTATTGTTTGTCCCACCGCTCTACAGAGACTGTGGAGCAGAAGTGTTCATGTGGGAGGAGGCAGCGGGGATGTGGAGGGATCAAGGCACAAGGCATTCAATGAGAGATGACATAAGTGAGTATGCATCACTTCCAACTTCAGGTTTTAGTGGAGGTTTTTATCTTCAGGGCAAAATTCCTCCCTGAAAGCAGTCTGATTGAGACTTAACTCAAAGTCCTACAAGATACTATACACAAAGTATCAGAAGACAAGCTTAAAAGTTATACCTGATGAGTTCTTTGATCCTCTTAGTGATGATATGGAAGTCTCTGTCTCAGTCACACTGTAACACAGATAAAGAGTAGCGAGATCAGACTTTGCATGTTCATTTTCAGACAAAATATTAGTGTAAGTAATACTCCAGAACACAAGACTGTGCACTTAGTGAAAAATAGGCTGTGACAGATAAGCTTAAAAACAAACTTCCCATAGAAGGCAGCCTTGTATTAGAGAAATTAGTAGGTGACAAGACACATTAATTGGTTGGACAAAAAAAGCAAATTCAATTTTCATTTTCCACTCTTATTTCACTCCTGAATGAAATTACAAGTTGTACAACTTTCTGAACAGGAAAGAAAGAAAAAAAGAAAAAAAAAAAA